ATTTAAAGGACTCTCCTCTGCTCAGTGAGGACTCCATAGACAGTAAGCAGGGGTAGCGGGGCCGTAGAGTCCACTGGCCCAATCGCTGATCCTGAGTTCAGTCTGGAGTCTCAGTTTTGGGGGCAGAAATTTTAACTCGCGGATCGAAGTCAGGAATTGCTCAAGAGCCACATTGTCCAGCGAGGGCGTCTGCGGGATGTCAACAAAGTCAAGATGGTGGCTGTGATCTTGTGGTCAGACGCCTGCTCTTTTCATACATGAACAAGGACACAGACATGTTTCATCTCCGCTGAACAAGAGCCTTTCTCTGTTGTTGCTCTTCCAGATGTTCTGTGTGGACCAGAAGACGGGCTGCCACCTGGCCTCCATCCATGGTGTGGCAGAATCGTTTCAGTTGGCCAAGTATATCTCCCGGTATCTCAGCTTTACCAACGTCTGGATCGGACTGAAGGATCCAAAGCAAGTAGGTCCCTTTCTGTCGCTGATGCTCATCAATCCTGGTGGCCAATACCTTTGGGGCTGCAGGGCTGGCCTGGGAGGGTTATCTGTCCCTTCCCCCCTTTCTTATTTTGCTCAGGTTCTGCTCCTTCGGCCTTTCCTCTTGCGCTGTGTTGCGCTGTCAGTTCTTGAGAAATGCTCGCTCCTATAGGAAGAAGGGACGTTTCCCTGGAGTGGAGTTCCTGGTGACTTTGTGAACACAAATGTCATTTCTGGGAACAAGACAGAAGGAGGTTTCCCCACCCACCCCCTCCAGAAAAGTCTCCCGGATGCTTTTCAGTTCCCAAGGGCCACCTGTAGCCCTGGGGGTTTGCTGGTGGTCCCCCACCCAAGGACTCAATAACTTTGATCCGGGTCCTGCCACCAAGTTGGGCGTAAGGCAAAGTAGCTCTCACACTGAGCTGGTGATTTCATGGGCACCTCCAGGCAGTTTTCTTCTGGAGTCTTTTTTCTCTGGATCTCCTGATGGTCACCTATCCAAGCATTCACCGAGTTTAACCCCGCTTAGCTGTTCCAGATCCACTGAGGTTGACTAGGTAGATGAAAGAGAGAGAGGAAGAGTTGTCTATTTGGTCGGCCCCTTGAAACCTGCCCACTTTTCATCCCTGTCTCTGGGCCCCCCCAGAGGCAGAGCCCCCTCCTCTGTTAGCTAACATGGCTTCCCTGCCTCAACAGCAACGAGTCTGGCGGTGGAGCGATGGCTCCAGCACTGGCTACACATCCTGGACCCGAGGAGGGCCCAACAGCCTTTGGCACAACGATGACTGCGCTGAGTTGCAGTCCTGGTCAGGTAAGCCGAGGTGGTGGGGAGGTGGCTGTGGGTGGGCTTCCAGCCATGAGGACAGTTTGACCCACCTTGCCACGCTCCCCTTGGCAGCCGATAACCCTGGTTTCTCCCTCGGACTGACCCACCCTCTGGGCAGTCGAGGGAACCCAAAACGTCCCGGGGACACACCATGAAGAATGAAAGCTGTCGTTCCTGCGAAACCTGGGACTGGGTAACCATTACAGGAGCATCATCTCCCAGTGAAAGAAACAAGCTCCACTTTAACCTTTTTGTTCTTTGTTTGTGTGTATGTATGTATGTATGTATACATACATACATACACAAACAAACAAACAGCGTAAAAAATCCAGGCGGAAACTGTCAAAAACAAAATAAACAAAAGATAACTATAAGTCTGGAACTCTGATGGAGCCGCTGAGAAAGGGGACCAAACCTTCTCTTTGCTACCAGGGTATGTCTCCTGGAACATCAGGGACTGCAATTTCCTGCGCGCTTTCCTCTGCCAGTGCCCGCTCTAGCCCAAGAGCAAGGGAAGCACCTGGGGAAGCCTGGGGAAGCAAGGAAGCCCCCCGCCTGCCGAAACGTCTGCTCTGCACCCCACGATTGAGGAACGGTTTGGTAGCTTGGGCGATATTTGGCTGATTCGGTTGGGCCAAAATCTCAAATAAATCCTATCTTGGCACGAGTAGCCTGATTTATTCTGCAGAGCCAGGAGCCTGTGGCGGTCTGAAGCGCAAGACCCCTGAGTCTTCTGCCTGGCAAGGTGTGGCGTTAAGCAGGGGGGGGGCTTGTTCAGAAGGACCACCCATTGAGGCTGTGATACTTTATGGCAGGTCCATTTCATTTGAATTGGAGAGCCGGAACTGAGTTTGGTGGGAGAAAAATATTCTCTTTCATGTTCCTGTATCAGTTCCCTTCTTCGGTGGAAAAGAATGC